GTTTGTTTTGCAATTATTTAGCAAAAATATGTGAGGAAAGTCACAATCCTTAAAATACCCTGGGAAATTCCTAGGATTACAATGTTATGAATGGAGAGTCATTCACTCATACTTTCATTCAACAAACGTTTACTGAGTGTCTGGTGTAACCTCTGCCTGACTCTAGGGCCTGGGAATATAGTTGGAATATAGCGTTTCTGTGTTCTTCTTTGGCAGAGCTTATCGTTGTGGTGGGGGGGGTGGGGGGGGTAAGCCAGTACACACACACGTGCGCACACACACACATTCAGAGAGTGAAGACAGTAGTTTGCTTAGATTCTGGTGCCAAGTCAGGGGTATGTGTAGTTTTTCTACACCACCAAGCACTTTTCTTTCTTTCTTTTTTTTTTTTTTTAAAGATTTTATTTATTTAATTGACAGAGATCACAAGTAGGCAGAGAGAGAGAGAGAAGGAAGCAGGCTCCCTACTGAGCAGAGAGCCCGACTCAGGGCTCAATCCCAGGACCCTGAGATCATGACCTGAGCTGAAGGCAGAGGCTTAACCCTCTGAACCACCCAGGCGCCCCCCAAGCACTTTTCTAACACCAGCCTACAACTGGGCTGATTTCGGATACCGTCTACCTGGAGAGAGCATCAGATCCCACAGGTTTTATCTGAATTATTTTGGATTTGACAAATGTTCCCTGAGGACTGTACTTAAATGGAAGTTTGTAAGAAAATAAAGCTGATATAAATCTATTTACTCTTTCTTTTTAGAACAATATGAATTACGGAGCCTCAGAAAACATTTGTTAGCTGCAAAGTAGCTATGAGTTGGCTCACTCCTAGCAGACTGCCCCCCCTTCCAAACCAATGGAAAGCCCACGTTGTCCCCTGTGCTTCTGAACAGACTGGCTCTGTAGCGGAGGTTTCCATGACCCCCCTTGGACTCAAGGAACTTGTTAGAGCAGCTTGTAGAACTTAGAGAAACCTTTTACTGATGAGAGTGCCAGTTTATTATCCAAGGATATAACTCAGGAACAGCCACAGGGAAGAGCTGTGTAGTAGGGTTAAGTACAGGGAAGGTGCGCAGAGCTTCCCTGCTCTCTGGGCACACCACTCTTCCCCAAATACCCATGTGTCCACCAACCTGGAAGCTCTCTGAACCCCATCCTTTGGGTTTTTGTGGAGGCTTCATTACAGAAACATAATCAACTAAGTCATGGGCCATTGGTGACTGATTCAACCTGTCCAGCCCCTCTCCCCTTCCCAAAGGTTGGGGAGGAGGACTGCAAATTCTGACCTGCAACCACAGGGTGAGTTCTCCTGCACCCCACCCCCTGCCCCCTCCACTTCAGGTCCAAAAATCACCTTATCAACATAACACAAGACACCTTATCTCTCTCATCACTTGGGAAACGCTGCAGGCTTTAGGGACCCTGTGCAGGAAATGGGGATAAAGACCAGATAAGTATTTTTTTTTTAATACGTCACGTATCATACTCAGGTAATATAAGAGGGTGTCCCCTGCAGGTGGGAACAGCATTGGATCAGGTGGTCAGGACTGGGCTCCCTGATTAAACCGAGACTCAAAGGCAAAGTCACTCCAGCAAAGGTCTGTGCAAGGAGCCTTCTAGAAGCTCAACAGATGCAGAGGCCCTGAGTTGAGAAAAAGCTTGTCCCATTCAAAGAACAGAGGAAGTTGTGAGTGTGGAAGAGGGAGGGGGTGGGGAGCAGTAGGGTGTTGGTCTTAGAGGAAGCTGGACAGGCCCAGACCCAGACCCCGTGGGCTACTGCAGACCTGGTGAACCGTTCTGCTCTCTTTCTGGGTGCAGTGGGCTGTCGCCCCAGGACTTTGTGCACGGAGGTGGTGAGTTTCCCGTTTTTCTGGGACATGGCTGCTCTGTGGAGAAGGGAAAGCTGACAGTCATCAAGCCAGTCCAGGGGGCAGGGGCCCGGCGGGGGGTGGGGAGGTGCTTTGGGGGAGGGGTAATACTGGAGTCAGAGTGGAGGAGCCCACCCCGGAGCATTTGGGCACAGTATGGATGAGGATTGCTGATGGGGTTGGAGACCGGAAGCGAGTGGGAAATAATTTATCTTAGTGCGGTATAAAAACGAGAGGACGAGAGAGTCCCTTAGAGCATCCAAATTCCATTCTGTTCTATAGCCTAAGTTAAAAAGTTATGGCACAGAGTCATTATTAGAGCAAAACTGAGCTTTTCCAAAACAAATGCAGTTCAGACACACTCGAAGCATGCTGGCTCTTGTAGTTGGCAGCGACGAACGTGAAGAAACGGACGGAGAAGATGGCAGTTCGACTCAACGCATAATTTCCGCCAAAAGCAGAAGGACAAGCCTGACCTAAACAGTGTTTAGTTTTGCTGACTGTCCTCGCTTTCCACAGAGAGCACGAGTTTCCCGGAACCTATACACAATTCTAAAGTAGACCTGCACTTAAAAAAGCATCCCACTTAGTGGCTTTGTATCCCTGGTCTTCTGAGAAGTCCTAAATCATGGTAGGCAAATCTCCGAAGGTGTTCAGCTTCCGAATGGTACGCGGGTCCAAAGGGGCTGGAGTCTGCTTTGATCTCTCCCGTGGCCTTTTCATCTCATTTTCCAAATCATCTCAAGTGACTTTGAGGTCCACGCGGCTAACCTGCCAATTCATCAGGAACCCAGCCTCAGCATCCCCACCCTCTCCTGGAGAAGGTGGAGGGAGAGAGAAGGATTTCCAGAAAAGATCTGGAACTCCAAACTCCCTCCTCCACCACACCTCGCAGCCACCCCTGGTCCGTCTGTCACACAGGAGGCTTTAGCATGAGGTTTTGTTTTAATTGAGGGCACAACGGGTTTAAAAAGATACACAGTGTTCTAGGGCGGTAGCGCACTTGCCCACTGAGATGGTCCCAGCCCACACAAAGCCGTCATTTTTGAGTCACCAGTATGAGCGGAGCTTTCCCAGCCAGTGAAAGAAACTCAGATCCCCAGGGATAGGCACAATTCCGTGTTCTTATTTCTACCCACTGCTCCCCCACCCGATGTTTGCAAGAGGCCCCTCTTTATGGTGTTTCTATCCCGCAGGCCCCCCAAGTTCATGGGTTCTCAGTGAGGTCAGTTCCTGTCTTTCGCTGTTCTTCTCTTGTGCTGGGTTTTGGTCCAACACTGCCAACCCCCCGCCCCACCGACCACTGGGAAAATTTGCTCTTCTCACCCCCATCTTGCAGAGAATGGAGCCCTGAGTGAGGCAGGAGAAAGGAAAGCACTGAACTGAGCTGGGTTTCATGGGAGGTGTGGGGCTCCCACCTTTGACCTTGGGGTCTTGCTGCTTCATTCACGAGCCTGTTAGGCTTAACCCTACCCTGGTGGTTTTCATTGCCAGGCCCCTTTGGCCTGGTTTTGTCCATCAAACCTTCTCCCATCTAGTCTATCAAAGCACATTCAGGTTCTTTCTCCAAGGGCCTCTGGGCCCCCAGCAAACCAGGGATCGTGGCTGGGCACAGCTTTCCATGCCTCGACAGAGAGGAGGCTGGTCCCTGATAGCCATGCTGCTTGGGCCACAGGTGGACCTGAGTCTGGGATCTGGCCAGCCATGGTAGTTTACTGGAGAGAGAAATCATGCTTAGGAAAACAAAAAAAGGAGAGATTACATAAATACGTGTGGGAAGTAAGCTCCAAAGCCCACAGAAACTTGCTCTGCTGAAACTTCCCCCTCTTTCTGTAGGGCCTTTTCTCCAGTGAAACCTTACAAAGCTCCTGTGTCTGACACAGGTGGTACCCAGGTGTCAAGGTCAGACTTCCCTGCTCTGCCAGCCTCTCCCTCTGCTGGGCCCCCCTACCTCCACTCTCCCCATTTCAGAAGTCTTTCCAGGGAATTCTAGAAGTCCTTGGAACAAAATTTGCAAAACACCCCACCGTGACATGACGATCACGGAAAGGAAGACAGACACATGGCATGCTGACTCTCCGGGAGTGTCTACCCCCTGCTGCGGGGTCTTCAGCCTGCCCCCAGCCTCCACTGGCTCCTTTAGTTGCAGACACGTGTAGGCGGCCGCGGTCCCATGTGCGATCTGCTCTCTGCGGCTCCCTCCAGTCCCCGCTGTCGCTGAAATTCACATCTGACTTTGTCATTCCTGAAATGCCTTCGGTGGCTCAGCATCCCTCATAGGATGAAGGCCCTGGGCACTCAGCTGTTCACTCATGGCTGTCCCTGCACACCTGTGCCCCTTCTTTGCTACTCCCCAGAAAACATCTGCTGACCGGTCCTACCATCCCCCACACCCCCCAGCCACCAGGCACACTCCTACGTCATCCCTGGATTCAGGCCGCTCATCCACGGGGAAACCACCCACTTCCGGCTTCTAAGCCCCGCCCCCTCCCCCATCCACTGCTTCCCCCCAAGGGGCTGCTGCACCCCCACCCCGCCCTCTCAGCCCTAGCCCTCCGTTGTTCACCTTCTCCGGTGAACTGTGAACTTCGGTCTGCTTGTCTGTCTCCTCAGCTTACACAGAAGCTCCTTGAGAGCAGAGGTGTTTCCGGGGGAGGAGAGATGACTCCCTCTCCCGAGTAAACCCCAAGCCCCCAGCAGATGCCTGACACGGAAAGAGCACTCAGCATCGGATCGAATGAATCTCCAAGTTTTCAGCAAGTGCGTTTGTCGAGATGGGAATGGCAGTTAGACATAAGCCAGCCCCAAGTTAATAAAATCAGAGATCCCTTTTCAGTTTCGTGTTGTACGCCTTTCGGTAGTTAAGCCTGCGGCAGGGAGACCTCGGGTTTGCAAGGCGGGTTCTAGTAGTCGAGGCCGCTGGAGCGTCTGCTGCTCTGCAGCCGTCCTTCCACCTGCATGGCATTGGCCGTGGCCGTGGCCGTAACAGACTTCGGCGTTCAGAGTGGATCCCGTTCCTAATAAAGGGAACGGGGAAGAATCCAAGGAGGGGCATGTGTGTGTGTGCAGGTGTGTGTGTGGGACGAAAGGCCAGGTCCTTGAATGAACTGCTTACTTGAAAATTGTCTCTCTGCAGGTGATGTGTCACCAATCAGCATGTCTCCCATCAGTCAATCTCAGTTTATCCCCCTCGGGGAGATCCTTTGCTTGGCCATCTCGGCAATGAACTCCGCCAGGAAACCTGTCACCCAAGAGGCGCTGATGGAGCACCTGACCACGTGTTTCCCAGGTAACGGGAAAAGAACATAGCGCTTTCCAGATAGGGGCGTGTTCCTTCGCCGCAAGATGTCCCACGGACCATTTCTCTCATTTAAATGTAATAGGAAAAAATTCTTTGCCAAAACGCGCCAGAAACTTTTCGTAGTTCTGTCATTCAAAGCCGAGGCACCCCTGTTCCTTCAAAAGTAATTTGCTATCTTCGGGTGTTACGGCAGTCCTTTTTAAATCGGCACCGAGAAGAAGACATTTAAGCAGAATCCGTGCAGAATTCTAGCAAAAACTAGCAAGGTTCTGTTCAACCTCCCCATACTCTTCTTGAAATACATGAACATCAGGATTCATGGGAAAAGGTCAGACAATTTGGGTCCCAAGGGACTACGCTAAAAAGACAGTAATGTCAAAAATAAACAGGCCTTGTCTGCTTGAGTCATGGCTTGATGAGTTTTTATCATCTGATATTGGATAAATCAGTTCAGATGTTTCCTTTTCTCTTAAATGTTATGAAAAGAACGGGCCAGCTGCTGCACAAATGGCATTGGGTGCCTCCAGCGCCCGAAGACGTTAGGGACGGTGAGAGCTCAGGGCTGAATGCCCTCTGGCCAGAGAGGCCTTCCACTACTCAGCTCCAGGGCATCGACCCCTCCCCACCCAAAAATGTAGAACCCTGCGAGAGTTGCAAATCTCTTACCTTTTCAAGAGAATCTGGACTTTCAGTTTTATGTGAAATCTATAGACTTCCTTCACTTTTGGCCGTTGTGTGTCTGTGTTGTGTGTGCGTGTACATTTTAACACACGTGCAAGTCAGATAAAACACATTACCTTGCCCCCAGTTGGCCAGCTTGGCTGGGACTCTACTTATGGCTGCATTAAAAATGAACCCATGACACAGGTTCCATTCAACCTAGAAGTGACCTTGGTCAGTAGAAGCTAGAGGCTGTAGCCGTTAGCTCTTGCTACTGAGATGCTGGGTAACAATCACAGAGCATCAGTGGCATACCGCAATGAACATTTATTTAGCTCAGGTATCCGGGGGTTCCCCAGGAGTCAGCTGACCCAGGCTGGACCTTCTAGGGGCCTCTGCTCCACCCGTCCCCCCTCCTCTTTGGAAAAGGAGACAAGCAGAGGCACAAGAGAACGGGCCCAGTTGTCCAAGCTTTCTGCAGCCCTTAGGTCACACCATACCCGCTACCGTTTCATTGGCCAAAGCAAACTTGGCTGAACTCAAGGTTGAGATGTAGGAAAATGCACCCTATCCATGGGGGGTGGGCAGAAGGACTGCTTCTAAACTAAATATTCATCTACTGTGTTGAGTCTCCCCACTTTTCCTTTTGCCCCAACAGAACTTTATAGTTCTCTCCCAGTGATTTTTTTTCTCCTTCTTCTATTTTCTAATTAACATGTTTCAAAATTATGCATACCGTTTAAGAACATGGACTCACCTTCGCAATCTATAAATTGCCTTGAATTTTCTAACATTATCTCTGAATATTCTTAACTGTCTGATGGTCTTTCTTTGTTAACTTCCAGGTAAACCCTTTTCCTTTCAGTGGTAACATAAGCAGAGTCCCAGGTGAGAGCCATCTAAAGAGACAGATTCCCAGATGGAATGCCCTTGTGAAGAAAGACCTTTCTCACAGCCTTATACCTGGTTAACCACTTCTGACATCAAACGTCCCGGTAGCTTTTAAACTCCCTCTATTTTCATGTAGCTTCATGAGAGATCGCATCGCTTTTCTAAAGTTGGTTACATCTCTCCCATTACTGGGCTATAAAATAGAGAATGGAAAGAACACAGGGCCAGTATGTAATAGTGAATTGTGAAAAATAGCAAAATAAAATAATAAATTGTTGAGCAGCTGATTATAATATCACTATGTTGGAATACTTTGCAGAGAAATTCATAGGTCACCTGTACTTAAAAGAACAACCGCTTTGCTAGCTTTTATGGTGAGTGAACTTACATCTCAAGACCTTATTGTCAGATAGACTGAGAGGAGCGAACTTAACCTTTTTCATCTTTGTGACACTGATGACTCTTTGTTCAACCCCAGATGGCAGGGGCACTGCATAAACCCGAGTCTAGGGCAGCATTTGGCAAACTATGGCTGCAGGCTAAGTGTGGCCCACTGCTTGTGCTTATAAATAAAGTTTTATTGGAACACAGCCTTGCCTAATTGTTTACGTATTGTCTTTGGCTACAGAACTCAGTACGTGCAGCTGGGAGATCATATGGCTCACAAAGTAAAATAGTTATTTTCTGACTGTTTCCAGAAAAAGTTTGCCAGCCACTGGTTTTGGGCATGGTAGTAATGATTTAAAGCTTTGTTTAGCAACAGTTCCATATTTTAGACTAGTATTTCATAAAATGAGGTTGTTTCCTGTCTGTCTTCCTTCTTCCTTATCTCTCTTCCTCCTTTCTTTTCTTTTCTTCCTTTGATTTCCTTCCTTTCTTTTGCAAGCATTAAGGTACTTCAGAATGAAACAATTTAGAAACTTAACACAATTCAAATTCTATTTGAAAGTGTCTTTTCAGTGACAGTGCTAAAACTCTGGAGGGATTTAAATACCATGGTTATGGGGTTTATTTTGTTTTCTTAAGGTAAGACTATTTACTTTCTTGTAGCTTACCGTTTGAAAATAGAGTTTTGAAGTCTAACCAAATATTATTAAAATATTTGAACTCTCATATTTAATGCCTATGTCATAAATTTAAAAAAAGGTCTAGATTTTGGTCTTTACATCCATATTCTAAAGAATGTTTTTTAGTGAAAAACCTAGTAAAAATGTCTGACATACTGAAATGGGACCCCCTCCTTTTTTTTTTTTTTAATGTAAAACCTTTTATCACCTTTCTATACTGGTTGAATTTTTGAAAACAACTTTTGTCAACCAGTGTCCATTACAGAAACAAGAATTTTTTTAAGGTGTAAAAAGAATGAAATATTTGCTTAACAGCTAAGTAAGCACTCCTCGTCCATCCATCCCAAATGATCATTTAAATCAGACTAATACTTGTTGAGTTGTTGTAGTTGGAATTTCCCCGGGAAGAAAGGTGACCCTCAGAGAAAGAACTGCTAATGGGGTTGAAGTTGGCTTTTAAATTTGCCGGAGAATGTTAACGTTGTATACCCCGCATTCTATCTCCCAACTCACCCCGTTACCTCAGTTCTTGCAGAATTCCCCCTTGGCCAGCGTTCTCCACACATGAGAAGAAATAATCCAAAGAAGCCCACGAGAGTTTCTGTCCAAAATGCTAGAATGTGGGCATGTGCTCTCCATTCTGACAGTGGTCGGATTTGCGGGATTAAAGGGATCTTACAAGTCTAAGCGTCCTGTTGACAAGCAGTGCTTTTAGGTATCTGCTTTTGCTTTGGAAAGATGCGAAGGTGTGGAAAAGGAGACAAGTCAGCTTTCAGCTCTATTTGGATATAAAGTTTATCTTTGTTCTTTAAGTCCTCAAAATCCAAATTCATGGTGAATTTTGGGACTAGAATCTGGAAGTGGTGGAAGGTGCAAACACTGAAAATACCCATCACAGCCATCTCTTTCCCAGGTGAGCCCTGCCGATTTCTTGTGCAAGTTTGGATTCCACAGACACCTAAAAATACCAGTCATTAGACAAGGCTTCGTAATAAAATAATCATCCTAAAAATCAGTGACTTGCAGTTAAAGCTTTGAAAACCTACTGGTAGAAGTGTGGAGAGTGGATTGGACAGGGAATGCTTCTAGTATGTTTTTTTCAAATTAAACATGATTGGACTGACAAACCTGAAAATCCAAGACAAGAAAACTTTAGATGTAAGTTCTCTTTGGAAACTCGTTCTTCTTCCTTCCTTCGGGAATGATCCGAGCACTTATCTTTTGTTTTTTTTTTCCCCCAGAGCTTTTTTTTTTTTTTTTAATTAACATATAACATATTATTTGTTTCAGGGGTACAGGTTTGTGAATCATCAGGCTTACACAATTCACAGCACTCACCATAGCCCATACCCTCCCCAATGTCCATCACCCAGCCACCCCATCCCTCCCCCCAGCCCACTCCCCTCCAGCAACCCTCAGTTTGTTTCCTGAGGTTAAGAGTCTCTTATGGTTTGTCTCCCTCCCTGGTTTCATCTTGTTTCATTTTTCCCTCCATTACCCCCACGATGCCCCACCTTGCCTCTCAAATTCCTCGTATCAGTGAGATCATAGGATGATTGTCTTTCTCTGATTGATTTCTTTTGCTTAGCATAATACCCTCTAGTTCCATCCATGTTGTTGCAAATGGCAAGATTTCATTTCTTTTGATGGCTGCATAGTATTCCATTGTATATATGTACCACATCTTCTTTATCCGTTCATCTTTTGATGGACATCTAGGTTCTTTCCATAGTTTGGCTATTGTGGACATTGCTGCTATAAACATTCGGGTGCACGTGCCCCTACATTTGTATCTTTGGGGTAAATACCCAGTAGCTGAGCACTGATTCTTAATGGTAAGTAAACATGATGACACTGAGGTTATGAGTCTGTGCAGGTTCCTAAGTTTTCTGTGATCAGTGCTTGGAAGGCCTACAGTCAGCAAATTCTGTTTATAGTACAAGTTGTTTTTCTGGATTACACCTTAGCTTTCCTTTATTACAGCAGCAGAGTCAACAGGTCAATCACAAATGCTTATAAATTAGCCTTCCCAATTTTTTGGAAGAACTTACGTCTGTGACAATAGTGATCACAAGCATGCTGCCACGTCAGATATAGTTCGTTTTCTGTATGGGTTTGAAACCCACATGGCAATGCTGCCCAAGCCCAGTGGGCATCATTCACGGGGCTGCAGTGGGCACAGTGTCTCATCTTGGGAGTGGCAGTCTGTGTGAGTGGTGCCCCCGAACTTGTTCAGCCAAAGGCCCTGGTTGGGAGTAGGGCATAGAAGCTCTTTTAAGTGGCTTCTCTTAGGTGAATGCGTGTTTTATGATGGCACTCAAGAATTTCATATATAGGGTGGGGGTTGTATCACTAATTCACGTGGAGTTCATTTTGTGCAGAAACTATCATAAAATTTTTAAAAAATTGTTATTGTACCAGCCTGAAAGCCATTTGTGTAAACACCAACGTACTACGTCTCTCAAGAGTAGAGCCCTAGACTAAAGGGAAACCGTGCAGTGCAAAAATTAGATGATTATACTAAACAATACATTATTCAAAAGCAATGTTGCCTTTCCCACGTTGGTCACAAAGGATGCCTTCTGAAGATGGTAGCAGGGATGGATGGACAGGTCACATCATATTCATGGGACGCTCTCCTGGGCCATTACTCATGTTTTCATATCCCACTTTTGTAGTTTTGGAAGGATTGTGGCAAACTGAGTTTGCCCTGCTCTTCTAGGTTGCTACATGATGTTCTCTGAAGGTAATCTGGTTTCCATGGGTCCTGCCCCAAAGTTGAGACGATTACTAGCTAATGTTTCTAGAGCCTGCACTACATGTCAGGTACTGCTGTCCATACATTAAACTCCTTTAAACTCAGAACTACCCTGTGAGGGTACCTGCTGTCACCCACATTCTGATGACCGTGAGCAGAGGCTCAGGTTAGTTAAGTTGCCTAAGGCAATAACTACTGTATGCATTTTCTAGCACAGCCTAACAAGGTACAGGGGGCATAAACACCAGAAATTTATTGTCTTACAGTTCAGGAGACTAGAACTACAAAATCAAGATATCAGCACAGTTGGCTGGTTCCTTCCGAGGTCTGTTGAGGGTAGACACTGCTCCAGACCACACTCCTTGGCTAATGGATGGACATCTTCGACCAATGCTTCTTCACATTGTCTTCTCTGTGTGCATGTGCTTCTGCCCACTTTCCTCTTTGTAGGAGGACATTGGTCATGCTGGAGAAGAGCCCACGCCGATGACCTCATTTTAACTTGTTTATCTCTACAAAGGCCCTATCTCCAAGCAAGGTCCCATTCTGAGGTTTGGGGCATTAGGTGTAAACACAGGAAGGGTGTGGGCAGGGGAGGCTGCCTAATTCAACCACTACCACCAGCTCATCGTGATGGAGCTGGAGTTTGAATCTAGCCACGTGGCCCTGGGCTCCAGGCTTTCGGTCTCCACATTCCATTGCCCTAACTATGTTAGGCTGTGTCACATGTAATTGTCATTTTGTGGGTCAGACACAGTTGAACATTGGCAGTATGATTCAACCCGACCCATTTCCAAACTCTGTCATGCAGGTCAAATCAGTTAGTACTATCACACTCCGTGGGCCTGGCATTGAGGGATGGAGAATGCGCTAGAAATACATGAATGCTCTGTAGTCTGGAAAGTTTATACTCTCTAATGAATTTGGACTCTTGATTCTGTCCTTTAAGAAAGACAAGGCATAAACACAGAAAGGGCTATGCACACAAAGACCTCTGAAAACAGTATCAGTCCTGGTACCTGGAAGTGTCTGTCACTTTCTTCTGGAATTTCTATACTAGTGAATATGGCATATTTGGCAGTGACCAGATGGACATAGAGCATCTAAATTTCCACAGGTGTATTTCTTAGGGCCTTTGGGTTATGAGGTAACCTCCTTCCTACAGACCCGGTCTGAGAAGGAGAATGTTCTCACTTAAACCTGACCGACCCTGTTGTCCTTTTTAAAACCAAAAGTCATGGTTTCAGAATTGGAGGGTGCTTCATGAGCCATGGTCAAGTCTAATTGCCCTTTTATGTAACTTACAAAATTAAGTTTATTAAGTAAGCTTAGTCTTGAAAAATGAGTGTGTAGTGTAGCTTCCAGGGTATACACTAGGCTCTGTACATGTTCTGATTATTTTCAAGTGCCAAGACAGCTATTTCAACCCAGTTTCCCTATTTTTTTTCTATCGAGGAAGTCTTTTTTTGGTAAACGTATATTACATCATGTAAAACATTTTTCATTTTCCCCTCCTTTAAAAACACTCTGCCTTTGATGGCTCAGTTCAGTAAAGGTTCGTGACAAAAGTACCAGTCTCATTGCACCTGTTTCCATCTCTCTTCCTGAACATCTCCGGGTCCTGCTGACTTGCCATGTGATAGTACTCGGAAGCTTGGCAAAGTTGGTAGGATTTTGTCTTAGTTTGGGCTGCTGTAACAAAATGCCATAGACTTGGGGGGGGGGGGGGCTGAAGCCACAGACATTTAATTCTCAGAGTCCTGGAAGGTTAGGAGCTGAGATCAAGGCACCAGCAGATTTGGTGTCTGGTGAGGACCATCTTGCTGGCTTGAAGACATGGCAAGAGGAGGGGGCTCTCACTTCTTCCTCTTCTTACGAGGGCACATCTCGAGGGCCTCGCCCTCAGGAGCACATCTAAGCCTAGTCACCTTCCAAAGACCCTACCTCCTGGTACCCTTACATCAGGGATTAGGATTCACACGCAGGAATATTGGGGGTGGGGGTCCAAACATTCAGTCCATAGCAGATTCGGAAAAAATCAGGAAGCAGCAGCAGATTCCCTCTATGTTCTTAAGAGTCTTTATTCCTTTGGTTTCAGGTGTTCCCACCCCAAGTCAAGAAATTCTACGGCACACGTTGAACACGCTGGTGCGGGAGCGGAAGATCTACCCAACTCCGGATGGCTATTTCATCGTGACCCCACAGACTTATTTCATTACTCCCTCTCTCATAAGAACTAACAGTAAATGGTACCATTTGGACGAGAGGATACCTGACAGGTCTCAGTGTACCTCTCCGCAACCGGGAACCATAACGCCCTCTGCCTCAGGCTGCGTCAGGGAAAGAACGTTACCGAGAAACCACTGCGACTCTTGCCACTGCTGCAGAGAAGACATGCACAGCATGCTTGCTTCCACTCTGCAGAGGAAACCCGCCAAGGACTGCAAAGACCCCTATTGCCCTCCCTCACTATGCCAGGTGCCACCCACTGAAAAGAGCAAAAGTACTGTAAACTTTTCTTATAAGACAGAAACTCTCTCAAAACCTAAAGATGGTGAAAAGCAGTCCAAAAAATTCGGGCTCAAATTATTCCGGCTGAGTTTTAAAAAAGATAAGACCAAACAACTAGCCAATTTCTCGGCCCAGTTTCCTCCTGAGGAGTGGCCCCTGCGAGATGAAGACACGCCAACTACCATCCCCAGGGAAGTGGAAATGGAAATCATTAGGCGCATTAACCCGGACTTGACTGTGGAAAATGTCATGAGGCACACTGCACTAATGAAGAAACTAGAAGAAGAAAAAGCACATAGGAGTAAAGCTGGGTCCTCTGCCCATCACAGTGGAAGAAGTAAAAAGAGTAGGACTCATCGAAAGTCCCATGGAAAATCTCGGTCACACAGCAAGACACGAGTGTCTAAAGGAGACCCTTCGGATGGTTCTCATCTGGATCTCCCAGGTGACAGAGAGTATGACTTTTGTGATCCTCTTACCAGGGCACCCAGGGAGGGCTGCTTCATCATTGAACACAAAGGAGATAACTTCATCATGCATAGCAACACAAACGTGATCGAGTCTCATTTCCCCATGACCCCAGAATGGGATGTGTCTGGGGAACTGGCCAAAAGGAGAACTGAGATGCCTTTTCCTGAACCTTCCAGGGGAAGCTCCCACTCAAAAGTGCACCGAAGCCACAGCCATACCCAGGACCGAAGGTCCAGGAATGAGAGACCCAGCAAAGCCAAGGAGAGATCCAGATCGATGGATAACTCAAAGGGCCCTCTGGGTGCTTCTTCTCTAGGGACACCCGAAGACCTGGCTGAAGGCTGTAGCCAAGATGACCAAACCCCCAGCCAGTCCTACATTGACGACAGTACTTTAAGGCCTGCACAAACAATTGGTCATCAAAGGGCTCATGTTTCATCCACGAGCTATAAAGAGGTGTGTATTCCAGAAATAGTCGGTGGCAGCAAGGAGCCTTCCAGTGCTTGTAGCCTTTTGGAGCCAGGCAAACCCCCTGAGAGTTTGCCATCCTGTCCCACCAAAACAGCTACAGATGACTATTTCCAGTGCAACACCTCCAGTGAGACGGTCCTCACAGCGCCGTCACCTCTGGGAAAGAACAAAGAGGATCATGACACTCTGACTCTGGCGGAAGGGGTGAAAAAGCTGCCTCTGCCCGACAGGCAGGCCCCACATTCTTCCAGAGAGCCCGTAGGGCACAAGGAGGAGTCACCAAAAGGGCCAGGTGGGGGCCCAGCCGCTTCGGGCACAGGGGCAGAAGGGATGGCCAATGGACGCCTCATCCAGCACCACAGCGCTGAGCCCAGCAGCCTGGACAAGAGGAAAGAGATATTCAGCAAAGACACGCTGTTCAAACCTCTTCACAGCACCTTGTCTGTCAACAGCTATCATAAATCGAACCTGTCCCTCCTCAAATCTCTCCCGAAGACCCCTGCCGACACACTGCCAGGCCGATGCGAGAAACTGGAGCCGTCCCTGGGAACCTCGGTGGCACCAGCGATGCCCGGTTCCCAGCGTCAGCAGGAGTCAGGGGGGAACCAGGAAGCCTCTTTCGACTATTACAACGTCTCTGACGACGACGACTCTGAGGAAGGGGCCAACAAAAACACGGAAGAGGAAAAAAACAGAGATGATGTAGGCACCATGCAGTGGCTCCTTGAGAGGGAGAAGGAAAGAGACTTGCAGAGGAAGTTTGAGAAGAACCTCACCCTCCTGGCCCCAAAAGAAACCGACAGCAGCAGCAACCAGAGAGCCACCCATTCGGCACGCCTTGACAGCATGGACAGCAGCAGCATCACTGTGGACAGTGGATTCAACTCCCCACGGTAGGGAGAAAAATTGCTGCTTGCACGCACACGCACACACACACGCGCGTGCGTGCACGCACACACCCACCGGGGCCCGGGGCTTTATATAAATGACTTGAAAAGCTTCCAGTGTCACCGTTTTAATTCTGTGAATGCGGGTTAAGGGTTGTGTGAGTTGCGCTGTTAACAACCTGTTTCTGACTTCTTTTTCAGGAATTGAAACAAATGTTTCTGCAGCTGTAGAGATCACCAATCTGGACTGGTGGGTTGGCTCCCTCCCTCAAACTGGCATCAGGCCAATCTAACTAGGACAAACATTTTCCAGGATTTTTCTTCTATGTTTCTGTTAGCACCGTGCAGATAAAAGAAGGTTTTTTTTTTTTGTTTGTTTTGTTTTGTCTTTTTTAGGTCCTCAAAAATAATAATTTCTTGAGTAGAATGAGTGGTCAGTAGTCACCTAGGGTTTGGGTAGGTCTTGGGTATAAATCTCTTGGCTCAAGGAGAGGGTCCTTCTAGTGGGAGGAGCAGATCGCAGCACCTTGCTGGGGGAGCTAGATGCTAGTTGCCCTTCTAATCCCGACCCTGTGTGCTCCTTCCCCCTGCTCATACACTTCACGTCCACAGAGAAATAGAGTCTTGTGTCTTTCACAGAACAGTGAGGAGCCTCTGTTCCCTTAGATCAGAGTGTGTGCCCACACTTTTCTCTCTCCTCCTGCAGCACTGATACAGACCATTAAGGCCCTCTAATCATAGCTGGTAATTCAGAGAGGATTAACAGAGTGCACTCGATGCCTAACAGTCATGTCCGGCGCACTGAAGTGGTTCAGGGGTTAAGAAAGCATAAGAGAGTCTATGCAACTTCCTTTTATTTCCTCCTTAACTCTTCCTTCTCCTCCAAGGGTAACTCGGGACCTAATTCTCCTTCTAAATTCTACTCCAGATTGGTGACTCTGAGATGCAGAAATACTACTGAGAGGTGGACATTTCTCATTAGCTGCGATTCCCAAGATTCTGCGATACTGATCATTTTAACAAGTACCCAGATAAGATGATGAACTTCATTTATTTTAATTATTAAGAATGAAACTTAGTTCTGTTGTGATCATTTCACTTTATCTCTAGATAATTTGCGGACAGCACATCCCCAGATCAGAATTGGGAATCTCTAATCGGCCCCATATTTGGCCTTTGTTATTTCTTAAAGGGCTAGTTTTTGATTATGATGAGGATTATTTTTGCCATGTAACCTTTTTATCTAAGTTAACACATGTGTGGAATTCTAATGACCAAACAAACCAGAGATGGTGCTCTGCTTAAAGTGGGTGTGAGGCCAGGAGCCCCAAGTCTCCTCTGCCTTTCCCTCATGGAGCCCTAACTGACCTCAGGGAGCCATGCCCTCCATCCGAAAACGACTGGCCTATCGAGTGACTTTTCTACAAAATAACTTACACTAAATATATTTTTTTAAATCCTCAATCAAATTTTAATTTATTTACCAATTATTTTATATCTCCTTTTCTTTCTATTTCCCTCTTCTGCTCTTTTTTTTTTCCTCTTGAATTTCTAACAGTGGCTACCAGGGAGGCATGATCGAAGGTCTGTAATTGACGGTAGAAGTTCAAAACCATGGCTTATGGAAGGTGTGGTTTATCTGCCTGTACCTTATGTTCAGCTGTTTTTTACTATGTAGACTCTGCCTCCCTCATGCTTTACACATTGGTTTCTGAACTTGCATGGTGCCCCTTGGCCCCAGCACCACCACAGAGGGCAGAATGCTGTCCTCCAGACATAACTGCTACAGAGACATTGAGAGTAGTTTAATGGGTTCTAACGCAACAGCCTACCACCACAGAATATTGAAAGGTTTTTTGGTTTGTTTGGGGGCAAATAAACACAAATACTCATGAGATCGTTGAACCAGTCTTGCCACAGAATGTATTGTTTTATCTCTAAATTCGGGGGGGCAGAATAATATAGAATTTGTGAATGGGATTATTTCTGGAAGTGAGTTTATTTTCATATATTTAATAAGGTACTTAAGGTTAAATGCTTTGTCACGGTAAGAGATACAGTGGTCCTGAGAGGACAACTTTCTCCCACTTACCTACATGTCTCTCCACTACTGTTAGGTAGAATTTTCTCCGTAGGAATACGTAGATGGCCCATAAATTTCATGCAGTTAGATAATCTACAGAATAATTCCTAATTTTGCCTCTTTCGCATTTAATATCCCATGGTTAGAAAGTAGGTCACAGCCATTTTAAACCATATTTTCGGCACACCTCAGTTAATCGACTAAGTTGTTTTCTGATGCATGATCGTGGTCTGTGGAGGAGAATATTTGAGTTCTAGGGAGTTTTATTCTCCAGCACGAGGAGGATTTTAGCCAAGTAGCATTATCAGGCTGGTACGTCTCCACTGCCCTAAGATACAGAAACTTTAAGTGGGTCATTTATTTGAGTCTTTTAGTACCTCCTCCACTGAGCAACTAAGATCCAATAACAACACCAAAGACCAAGAAAGGTGATCCCCACACTCCGAGCTTTCCATGCTAGCTCAGAAGTGTTCAGCCACATTCCCAAAATTCTTCAGTCCCTTTTGTTGAGACTGCAAGGGTTTTTAGAAGGAAAAAAGGTAGAAGCTTCAATTCTGCTCTGAGATCGGATATTGAACATGAAAACTCTTGACCTAAAAAACCTGCGATTCCAAATCTGAGGCCAAAAACAGGCTGACAAACACAGTGTGAAAATCCAAGGGTGCAGAGCGGCCAGGGACATGCCCGCTTCATAGGGTGCGAGCATGCGCTGTCGGAGCGCGGGGCCGAGGGAGGCGCGCGCATCCAGGAGGAGGAGCCCCATACCTGATCTGTTCACTTCTGCTTCTAAAATCCTGTCCTCTTATTCCATGGGGTTTCTTTTCCAACAAAGATCAAGAACTTTTAAATGGGAGGACTATTTCTACTGCTAATACTCTACCTCCATTAGCTTTTTCATCACACCCAGAGTCCTCGTTAGGAGCGTGGCACCCTGCTCTCATTATTACAGCAGTAACGAAATATATACCGTTTGGAGAAACTGGCGTGCTGTATCTATTCATCACTATGAGTGACTCTGCCCAGAGGTGGTCAGAGGCATCTTCGAGCACAGACAGCTCCCAGCTTAGATGGTCTTTAGCAGTGATGTGTGTGCACAGTGCCTGGCCCAGTGCCTGGCATACAGCGGGTGCCTGATGAATGCAAACCCTGCCTTGAAAGCTGATTTCAAAGGCTTAAGCGGGTTTAAGGGCCTTTGGACCTTAAAATGCATTTTTCCATAGAAAAAGGGGTCACTAGTAACAGAGGCATTCTGAAACCAAGTCATAGTAGCTGCTTCATTCATTAGATGCCAGATGTACAACAGAAATAATTACAATGTATCTAGCTTTTTAGCGTACAGATTCATCAACGCTTACTTCTTCACAGTCACTCTGTGAGTAGGTTAATCTCCTAACCCTCCTCATTTTAGAGATGGGGATATTGAATACTGTAAAAAGTTACTCTCACAGTTAAGAGTGAAACTGAAGGAACGTGTCACTATATCTTTGGGGTTCTAGGTGTCGATTGCCTTCTTCCTTCCTCCGCCTGACCCTAGGCCCCAGCAAAGGTGCTGGCAAGTCCCTGATGAATTTTCTTAGGGAAAGGGTAAGGCAGGTAAGTAGGTGAGTCTAACACTTAACATCGCTTTAGTGGTGATGTTTTGGGGTATTCTGTAGGTATGCTCAGATCTACCGTAAGCACAATGAAAGAACTTGACTTATTTCTGTAAACATATTAACCTTCTGGAGGTGCCCTTTGCAGTCAAGAAAGATCCAGTTGTCTTTTTGGTAGTTGATGACGGAACTTCCTTTTAAACAACTACCCCTTGGCACACTCAAGGCCACAAGGGTTAGAATAAAATAATCCACTATCTAGGAAGTGCCGCCAAACACAGTACAAGCATCCCCTGCTTTCTGAAACTTTGTGTTAACATCCCTTCACTTTTACAAAAGACCCTATGTTAGTAACAGCTTTCTTCGTGAAAGCAAAAATCTTCGGATTTCTTACACTCAGCAAAAACAGGTACTAACATGGGTCTTCTGTAACAGCGAAGGGCATTAATGGCGAGCGTTTGGAAAGCACGTGTAAACCCTTCCTGACGTTTAGGCTTACAGAAGATTTCATATGAACACCCTGCACTCCGATAGTGGGAAAAAAATCTATGCGGGGTTCAGACAAAATGGCTGTTAATTTAGTGTGGGAATGACGGAGAGGTGGTGAGGATGTCCGTTGAAGCAGTCTGACCTGCTGACTAGTTTCAGCAGGCTGAAATCAGCAATGGGGGGCCGACTCTCATAGAGTATTTTCTAAACTCCGAATCTGCCCAGTCGGGTGAATGGATGTTTTGCGCATCCTTGTGGTTTCTTCAGTATCTTTGTAAACTTAAGTTTCTTATTCCTATTTTGAGGACTTTGAATATAGAACCTGTCCAGTTCCTATCCATCAGGCTAAGTAACCTTATTTCTGCTATTGCCCTACACATTTAAAATGTTGATGTTCTGAATCAAGATTCAAGAAGTTCTCACTTTAAAAATTAGAAGTAGAAATACCTTTGAATCACCTCTGTCCATAAGAAGCCTTGAAAAATAAAATATTGCTACCAAAGTGGGGGGAGGGGATGTAAACTTCACAAATGAATGGGGGAAATCTAAGATTCCTGATCTGGAAATACAATGTATTTCCATGAAAGTGTTAACATTTGAAACAGAGGTGTGAAGTGTTTTAAGAAGAATTTTATTCCCATCAGAGTGCCAAATTAGCTAATGGTATGCCTTGAAGTCCACCAAAGTCAAAATCTGCTAATCAGGAATGAAAACAGAATCATTAGGGGCAAAATTGAGTTTATTCATTTATTCAGTGAATTTCCAGCCTGAAATACAATCATCACATATGTGTACTTAAGAGGATTCTTTTCTAAATGAACGTGATAGTGATCGAGCCCATCAAATTTGGAAGCGATTTCCTTGAATGGGGAAGGAAAGGGAAAACATTTAAAGTGCACTTAGCTGGATGAAAACCCGTTATTCAGGGTTCCGTGGATTGTAACGTGTGTGAGAATTTCTGGAGCCCACATTGGACAAGCATATGTGAATAATCAGTGGGAGATGGTGTATATATGACATCATGAGCCAACAGAGGAAATCCATTAACCACATCATTTGCTCTTCCTCTGGGGCTCAAGAGATAATTATTTATGTTGAAAACAAAACAAAACAAACCCTTTTTACTCTTTTAGCACTCGGGAGAGCCTGGCTTCCAACACGTCCAGCATTGTTGAAAGTAACCGGCGTCAGAACGCTACCTTGAGCCCAGTCCACGGCGGAGCTGGCCCGGCCTTCAACTTCCGAGCGAGCACGGACCCCGCAACCAACGAAGCTGAGAAATTACAGAAACCTTCCAACTGCTTGCAAGCTTCTGTTACTAGTGTGTGAGAGTCGTACTGTCTCCGATCTCCTGTCTCATTCGATACAGCCAAGTTTACGACACTGGGACTGATGTTTACATCTGGGGAAAGACAAGCATCTCGACCACAGTTTTTGTGTTTACTTAAACTGTGCTGCTAAGTAGGCTAGGGCAAAAAAAAAAAAACAAAAAACAAACAAAAATCTTTATTTCAGAGTATTGCTTTTCACATTTATGGCTCTGTAGCAACCGAATAGCAGTAGGGGTGATATGTATACGTTTGTTTCACTACTTGTAACTGAGCACACATAGGAAAGTCTAGACACTGTAAGTGTGGTATGCATTCCAATGTCATGAAGTTGCCAATTCCATTTTTAAATGCCACAGATGCGTGTTGCTCCCAGTCTGTGGTCGGAGGGTGCCACGGAACTGATCCTTGACACTTCCCAAAAACAAACAAACAAACAAAAAGACAAAAAAAAGCGTAAGCACCACAAAATGACCAATGCCAGGGTCCAGCTTGAGGCAGATCAATGTCAAACTGACCGGAAGGGACCCCAGCCCTTTGTGTGTGAATTATTTATGCACCCGTCATTTTTCACTGTGAGTTTTCATGACACAGTTTTTTGCAGGAGCCCGTGGAAGTGTGTCAGAAGGGGTCGTGATCGAAATTCTGGGAGTGTTTGTTTTTTTTTCAGGATTTTGTTTTTAAGTGAAACAGATGCTTGTCTGATTTTGAACCTTCCATAATCATGAACAGGAATATAGGCCTTTGATTCTGAAGTGGGCGAAGGAAGGGGATCCCCAGCCTGGCTGGGGCACGGCACTGAGGGATGGAAGAGGGGAAATGTGGACTCTCTAACGGTGTCAGTCAAATATTTAAGGATGATAATTTCCTCCTTGTGATCCTTATGATGATCCTATCTTACTATAATAGATACAATGATTAGTTTGTTTAAAGGCAAAATGTTCTTTGTGATACAAATGAAGAGTATGGCCTGGGGATGTTATTCTTTCTAATGGAAGGACATTAATCTATTTTATGTAGTTTCAAATAGAATGCCTAAATTAGGCTATGGGAGATCATTTTTAGTGGTTATAGGAAAGAGCAAAGTTAGGGAGAGTTGAACTTCAGGCCTTTTATTCCTGGAAAGATATCTATAGAGAAAACTTTAAAATAATTTTTGATTAGAAATTTACATGTGCCCATGTAATTACCAACAGAATGTGCTCATTCTGCAAGTATGGTATAATCCGAACTTGTACTCCCCTAAAATTTATCAGAGTAACAATTATGCATACATGAACTATGCCAGGGTAATGTTTACAGATACTTTGTAACCAATTTCAGGAGGTGTTTTTTAGGTGGATGTATAGTTCCTAGCCCAACTTATTTCAAAATGGTTTGTTAACACGTTGCTTTGGTTTACAATGTCTTGTTGAATACAAAGAAGACTCAGCAGCATAGGGATTACCAATAATCTTGAGCTTCAACTTTATAGAAAAGAGACATTTCAAAACTCCCCATTTTATTCTATGAGAACAATGGACTAAATGTGTCGATAATGACAAATTACTTGCAGAAGGGTTGCATGTGACTCAAGCAAATGGTCTGACCAAAAGTTTAGTTCAGTGGCATGTGCTGTTTGGAGCCATATAATAAAATATATATCCAAAAATAGATCTAAACTCTTTCCACCTCAGACTACGGTAATTGGCAAAAAAATGTGTGCAACATTTCTGCTTCAGTATAGGCTTAATCACTAGGGATCTGTTTAAAGAATGCACTCCGACACATAATTAGACCGATTCTTGAAGCATGTGGATGGTCTCTCATGCTTTTTCAGATATGTGGAAGTCGCATTAGGTCAAACTGGACTCCTCAAGTTTAGTCTAGATTCCTTTTTTTGTGCTTAGTATGAAACATAAGCACATTTCTTGGTAACCCCCCCCCCACTAAAATGCTTTAAGTCAGTTGGCTTTCAGTCTCATGCCTTATTTCCTCCAAGGCATGCCCCGATTGCCCAGAAATGCACTATTTGTCTCATTGCTTAAATATGTCCAGGAAGAATGATAATGTAACTAATAGACTACACACACAGTCTGTTTCCCTGGGGAGTTATATACCATACGGTTACCAAATTCTTCTGTCTAAATTCCTTTTTTTCCAAAAAACCTGCTCTCGAGTGTCGAATCGTACCATCAGTTCATAAATAACATAACCATTCAAACAATATATCAGCCTCTCGTTGATCCTCTGAAAGTAGCCATTATAGTAATCAAACGCAGTGTGGACCGGAAAGGAAAGCATTACCTTTAAGAGAAGCTTTAAAATAGGAATTTATCAGTATTCCACAAGAAATAGGTTTACAGAAGACATGATTCAAATAAAACGTGTATACCATTTGCCCGATGCTATGGGGTACATGATTTCAAAAACAACAACAACGACTCCCTTAGACCTGGAGCCATTATCGTAGAAAAGATGGTCTTTAAAGATGTTACAGTGTAAGCAGACGATCTGTTTGGAAGTGTCCCCGTCTGCATTTCATGAGGAGTTCTGGATGGGGGAGGCATGGCGGCAGGAAGCGTTGTTACAGATGTGACCCGAGACGGTCCTCCGACGGCGGGCGAGCTTCTCAGTGACCAAACCCTCAGCCCACGCCAAGCTTTGCCAACGTCCTTGTCCTCCCCTGAACTGATAGAGCTTTGTGTGACGTGGCTGCTGATCTAGTCTTCACTTAGAGTTTATCAGCTGAAAGGTTTACAGAACTGAGTCTGCTTGAATCTCTGTGTAGCGTTCAACTCTAAAGGGTCAACCCGTCTGTCGGCATTTTGCACACTTATGTATTATTATGATGCAGCATATTACTTTATGGCAATTTTTATTTTTTACATATAACTACCTCCATAAATTTGATGAAACGGCAGCAGTGTGTTTAAAGTGTATTGTTCAGAAAAGCAAAGTTGAAAACCTCCGTAGACATGAGGCCATGGCGTTCCGTGTGTGTGTCAGTGACTGCCCCTGTAGACTCGTGACTTCTTCATGGCCGTGGTTTGGTTTCACGGCATTATTGCGCTTTCAGATGTAAACCTGTCTCTCCTCTCTTTCCCACGAAAGCACACTTGATTTTGTTACCAACGAAAGGAAGTTGGAATCTCTGGTCTTTCCCCACTGCCCCCAAACCCACCCCCACTCCTGCTAAGAGTTCTCCCCCCGGGGGAAGAGCCAAGCCAATCGGTAAACAATTTAGCAAGCTCTTTAGTTCTGTCAGAATTGGATGTGGAAATTCTAGGTTTTCAGTAACTGAAGACACACAACAAATTTGGACTGTGCCGGCTTTGAAGTACTTTGGGCCTCTCTGCCTTCACTCACATGCTAGCATCCCGAGCCCAAACGTCATTTTAATTAAAAGAGCTGTGTTCCGTTAAATACTTTGTATTCCATTTTATATATTTTGCACATCTCAGGGGACCTCAATGAGCATATGAAAAGGGGGGGTGCCATCAAATAGAGAAGACAGCTAGAGGAGCTAAATGGGGACCAACCAAGATAAAAATACCAAATTAGTGCTTCTCTGATGTGAAGTGCAAGTTCAGGAGGCATAAGTTCAAAGTTAATCTGGACTAACAATGATCTGAACACCAGCTGTTCCCAAGTCTCCCTTTCTCAGAGCCCAACCATCGGTTCGAGGATGTAAATTCAAATTCTATCGCAACCACCAGGGGGAGGAAAAACCTGTTGGATGAAAAGGAAAGCATTGTGCGGTTTTTTGTTTGGTTTGGTTTGGTTTGGTTTTAGGTTGGCACAGCTTTGTAAAATCCTACCCAGAATAAACCACTTATCCCCACCAAGTGTACTTGAAAATAAAGTTTTTAACCTAAATTATAGGCGTATAGCTCACAATAGTGAACCTATTTTGAAAAGTCTCGCCATTTATAACACAGGCAGTATTTTGAGCTTGATGAAAAGTCAACAAGCGATCATGACTTCGCCAGCTCATTTTGGGATCTCAAAGTGCTTCCAAAGCATTCAGATTGACAAACAGTTAACTAAGCAGGTCCTATTTGTAATACCCATACTTGAAATGGAGAGAGAGAAGTTGGGACCTCAGATTACCCAGAAATTTCCGTGGCAGCTACCAGTGATCTGTTTTCTATCTGTTTGATAGACCCTCATGAGAAATCACTAAATACAATGCTATTTTTCTGATGTGTGCTAATAAAGTCAAAGAAAACAAATAACAACTGTACACTCTTGTCCATTTTCATTCAAACAGTTCAGGGTGTTTGGAATTTTGCAAAACCCACCCAAATGCTGTTGCGGTCAGAGGCAGATCCTAGACGTACACCCTCATTTACAGTTTCCTATTGGGCTTCGGTAATTCCTGTGCGAAATACCATCCTTCAAGAACATTACTGCTCCGGGCAGTGGAAGGTGCTGAAACAGGAACTGTAATTAAAAAGTTTATCAAGTACTCTTGGCTGTGCTACTTGAGCACACTAGAAACTCAGTACAATATATTGAGTCCTACCCGGAAGAATCTGGATTTCCAAGGGAGCCAATCTAGTTCTCAGTGTTTCCTCAAAGTCAGGGATACCAGATCCTTGCTGAGGACCTGCTCCATTGCCACAGGCCAGTCACAGAACCAGCTAACAGCACGCTGTCACACAGACAGTGGAGTCCCAAGCAGAAGTGATCCCGTCCTCTCCTTTCCCCCGCCTCCCATCCCCCACCTACCCAACCCCCCACCCCAGCCACCACCCTGCCTGTTCTCTTCTGTTAGCAAGCCAGGTGTCTGCACATGTTTAGGGCTTGGGGAAGCTAGAACACAGGAAGAACAAATCCAAAAGCATGGAAAACCTTGTTTTGCTTGGGGTTAGTAAAATACAGGCAGGAAGGAGATTACCATCGGTCTGGTCTTTGCCAAGTTAGATTAAAGAATCAGCTGTCACTCTGTCATTCTCTCAGAAGGTTTTATAGAATGAAGGATACATCCAGTATTTTCCCATAGATTTTTATCTGGAGACATTTCATAAATTATATATGCGAAAAAACTTCATGATGTAATTTCCTGGAGTGTTTGAAATAGGCTTGGCATCTCCCCGATTGAGTTCGTCTCTGTATCTTTTGCGGCAGCAGCCCAGAGAGAGATCCCCCAGTGATTGACCCTCTAACAC